TTGTTGTGTGTATATATATATATATATATATATATATATATATATATGTATGTATATATTGATATGTATGGACATGTATACCTTGTAAATCTGTGTAAACGCATATTATCTATCGTGTACCTTTTGTATAGTGTTTCTATGTATGTCTACTCTATATATACATATATATCAAAACGTAAATTCTGCACTGATGGTAGCTGTCGGAACACGCTGGGTAGCATCTTCAATTGCCTGGTTAGTGGTTATCTATTTATCTATTTATCTATTTATCTTATCTATGTATCTATTTATCTGTATATCTATTTACCTATTTACCTATTTATCTTTTGTCTATTTGTAAATTTATCTATTTATCTATTTATCTTATTTACCTATTTCTCTGTGTCTAATTGTCTTTTTATCTATTTATCTATTTATCTATTAATCATTTAATTATTCAACTATTTATCTATTTATCTATTGATCATTGAACTATTCAACTATTTTATCTATTTGTCTATATATTCATTTATCTACTTATCTATTTATCTTTTACCTAATTGTCTATTTGTCCATTTATCTTTTATCTATTAATCATTCAACTATTCAACTATTCATCTATTCATCTATTCATCTATTTATCTATTTACCTATTTATAGAACTACCTACGCATCTTCTCTGCGTCTGGGTGCCAGATCAGCATACAGTCACTCCCTGGGCGGTGTGTGTCTATGGCAAGTGAGGATAACAAACTGGCGGTGGTCTACCACAAGGGCTTTGCGCTGGATGATCAGCAGATGGACTTTGTGTTGTTTGATATCAACGATGACTCCTTCGTGCCCCGATGGTGAGTCAGTTCGTGATTTTTTGGTAGAGTATAAGCCTAGTTTTTTTTAAAGGGTGCAAACCTGGTTTTCCGTACGGAACATTCAAGTGTCGGAGCAAACCAGGGTTTGGCACTGAATGGTAACAGATAAATTTCGTGCTGTTTAAGTTTGACGTCGATTTGTTCGCATCGCGATGGTGAATGAAATATTGGCTGTCGATTGGGTCTAAACCCGGTTTTTTTCGGATCTGAACCTGGTTTTCCATGTGTCTGGGAATACCGACGGGTTGGCGGATGAGCAACAGATGGCTTTCATTCTGTTTGGCATTCTGTTTACTATTACCCATACTTTATTACCATTATTGCTGATATTACAATTACTATTACGTATGCTATTTCTATTGCTATTACTAATATTACCCATACTTTATTAGCACTACTCACTATGTACTGTGTAAGCACCACTGCTCACCACACATACACATACACATACACATACACATTCTTCATAACATATACGTATTTTGCATTTAAACACTAACTACCACTGTTCACCACCTATACATGTGCATTTATTCACTACCATGCACATTCTTCATTAACATATACGTATATCGCACTCAAACAGTTCACTACCACTGTTCACCACACATACACATACACTTATTCACTAACATAAGCGTCTGCTGCATTTGTATTGGTTCAGTGTGCCGCTGTGTTTAACCCCTGCGTCTGAGTTGGAATGGATGGGCTTCACACCCGAGGGACTGCCCATCACCTACGATAGCACGGGCGTTGTTCGGGTATGTGATAGACGATATGCGAATTGTCTCCATAAACATAGGCATGTCTATGTAAGTACACTGCCATATATG